ATACATTTTTATGTATACATACTTACATACATACATACATACATACATACATACATGCATACATGCATGCATGCATGCATGCATACATACATACATACATATATATATATATATATATATGAATACATGTGTGTATAGTATATACATATATATATATATATATGCATATGTGTATAAGGGATCTGGGGTTCGTTGTCCCAGGTGCGAGAAGAGCTCGAGCGCTTAACACTTCGGGCCTCAAGAACGGGGATTCGCAACGTTCGGGTTTCGTTATAGCACAGCATAGGGTTTAGGGTTTGGGGTTTAGGGTTTAGGGCATAGCATGGTATGGCATAGTGTATTATAGTATAGTAAGGTCAAGCATAGCAAGGTATACTTGGTAAACAGTATACTATAATATAGTACAGTACAGTGTAGCATCGTAAAGCATAGTATAAGGGAATATGTACCGTTACTACTGTTGATGGACAAAATTCTGCATGACCCAAATATAGTATAGTACCATAAATCCCATAGTTTAGGTATATAGGGTCATGCAGGATTTTGTCCATCAGCCGTATTCGTTCCCGACCTCTGCAGTACAAGGATTCTCGCGGAAAAGCCGAGGCGCCGCGGTCACAGAGATCAGCACAGCTCCGATGGGAGACAGCAGACGGTCAAGCACCTTGGCTTGGCGGGGACTCGGTTTAGGGTTTAGGGTTTAGGGTTTAGCCGTGAACACAAATGTTCTATACATGCAAAAGAACGGTATATTCGTGCCGGACCATATGCCATCAAGGGTAGCAACAAAGCTCAGATTGTGCTGTTTGATGCAAACTACGAGCGGCGATGTTAGTTGCCATTTGTTTAGCAATCCTCGTAGCTATAATCTTCATCTTGTTGTTGTTTCCAGACCTCTCCTACCTGCTAGGCTGTTCCATTCCAAATCTCTCTCCGTATAATTGACGGCTTTTCTACCACTCATCTTGGTGCGACTGCTGATGTTGCCTGCTGCCTTAGTGCCCCAACCGCTGTTCTTCGGATTTCCCAGTCCTGAAGCCGCGGTTCCAGCAAAGCACGCCGATATCAGCTGAAACGGTTGAGATCACTCAGCCCTAACATGTGCCAGAGCACAAAAAGTAAGGCCCCGAGTCTCGGATGACAGAACCTGAAACTCACAAACACGTTGGCGACGTCGATCACCGGGACGGCCAGGGTAGTGGTGCTAGCAAGGTCGCAGTCGTCGTGGTCGTCGTCAGTTCTCCTCTTCACCTCTTCGTCGTCGCCTCTTCTTTTATAGCATCGTTACCGGTATCTTGAGAACACGCAATGAACCCTCGCGTGCAAACAAGGACCAAACACCAGAAAATCGACCACCCGAAGCCCCATCCTGAGCATCACGCCAGCGGCAACGCCTCCATGGCCGCCGCATTGCACAAGAGCAGCGTCCTTAGTCGGCTTTTGGGGTACAGGCTGTAAGACTGATGGGCTGTAGGGATCAAGGCTGATGATTTTAGGGTTTCGGGTTGTGGCGATTAGCAGTATAGACTTAAGGAACCCTAAACCCTAAACCCTAAACCCTACACCCTAAACCCTAAACCCTAAACCCTGAACCCTTTAAGACTACGAGTTTCAAGTTCCGGGCGTGGTGTCTTGGACTCAGAACTGCTAGAAGCTCCAAAAGGGGTTTAGGGTTTAGGGTTTAGGGTTTAGGGTTTAGGGTTAGGTCTTGGCCTATCGCGAAGGAAGAGAGAACTTGACACCGAAGAGGTGCGATGAAGAGTAAACCCACACCCTAAACCCTCATCTTCAGCTTCCATTGGTACCCTTCCAGATCTCGGGACTCTGCGGCACCCTAAACCCCGTGCGCCCCCTGAACCCTGTGGTTCAAAATGTTAGGTTTGGGCTCGGTTGCGGACTTCTGGAAATACTGTCGTAGGACCAGCTTCGGGGAAAGTGTTCACCTGCCGGATATGGAATTCAGAGCTACTGTTGATGATAGAAACCCTGCATTACTTTAAGGACAATAAACTATGGGAATTATGGCATACTCCCTATTATGGGTAATGCAGGATCTATATCATCAACCGTATTTAAGGTAGTAGGGATCCAGCGGGGCCTTCGTTGACACTCGACCCGGTTAAGAGTCTAAGGTTGCTGCACAGAGATCAGATCCATTCTAAACGCCATGTTGCCGTTCGAGAAGATACCCGGACGGACTTGCGAAAACAATGGGAATGTGACCCAGTCGCCTAAGTCGCCTTTTCTGGAGCATTTGATATCTGCAACATTTTCATGAAGCTATGTCACAAGCATCATTGATGATCCTTAAGGTCGCACTTCTAGTCGTGGTGATGGTTATTAGTACAGTCGTGTGACGTGCAATCATCATGTTGACAACGATCATTGACTATGACTGCGATGGTATTGGATGCTGGGTATCTCGCCTCTCAACCTGCTGTATTTTCTTCCTCTTCCTATATCGTGAGATTCATTGTGATCAGCCTTGTCTTGCTGAAAGCTTCAAACCCTTCACTTATCTCCAAGCTCTTGGTCTAAAACCTTAACGCCTCGAGAGTGGCTGTAGGGCCCGGGCACCAACAACAGGTGTTGCCGCTTGATGAGCCCCCGCACCTGCAAAGAATGCAAGACGAATTATGTGTGGCTGTGCTTGGATGGGACGAGTGGGATTACACATGCAACATGGCTCAGGCCGGCGAAAATAAATTTATCATGCGAGCTCAGCAGCCACGAATGAGCTGCAAGACAGGGCGATGGGACCCAATCTGTGGTCTGCTGGTTCGTAAAAATCGCTGCTTAGCACCGCTGCAATCGCTGGTCCTCTATCTTGTTCTTGTCCTCACTATTTTCGACTGCGTTCAGTGTCCTGAACCAGTTCCTGTCAGCCTTCACTGCTATGAGTTTGCCTGTTGCGCACACCATCCATGAAACTCTGCACCATGGGACGAGACACGACCGAGTCTGATCGCACGATTACAATGGCGACTGAAGGTAACTACGACGGCAATCACCAAGATCAAACCGACTCTGAACCCCAAACCCCTGAACCCCAAAAATAGGGTTTAGGGTTTAGGGTTTAGGATTTGGGGTTTAGAGCCTTCGGGTTGAGGACCAGCCCGCAGACCCCGCCCCCGGCCCCTTCCCAAGACAAGATGCTAAATAAAGGGGCCTCAAGAATTAGACTAGGGCGTAGAGGAATGTTATAGCAAAGCTGCATTTAAAGAACCGAAGGGATCGTTTTGATAAGTATTCAGGCCCTCTTTGCTAAGCCCGCTTGACACCCAACGCAGTAACCCTCACATGCTGACTCTTTGTAGAAGCCGTTTAAGAAGGAACCCGTTTAAGGAACCTTTTGTGGAAACCTTCAAGGAACCGTTTTAAGGAACCCTTGAAGGAACCCTTTTCAGGAACCCTTTAAGGAATCATTGATGGAGACTCTGTTAAGGCCCTTTTGAGGAACGGAACCCTTAAACGAACCCTTTTCTGTTCAGGACCAGCCAGGAGGCTGCGATGGCCCTCCGCTGTTCCGTGGCTGTGCCCGCTCGCTCCACGATGCTGAGCTCCAGCTCCTCCTCGGATTCACACGCTTTTATAGGGTTTGGGGCTGAGGCCGTTTGGGCGCTCCGGGCGTGGAACATAATGAACTTAAGCACGAAATGCGGACATGTCGTTCGAAATCTCATCACCGTCAGCAGCATTATCACTGTAGCCATCATCAGAACAACGACAAACAAAATTCTCATTACCACCAACACCATCAGCATCATCTTCACTTTCACGATCACATGGCATTGTCAAGCAAAACAGAACAAACAACCATAGGAGTGTTTCAATCAATAGCTATAGGGTCCTTGGAGCATGCTTCAATAAAAATCAAAACAGACATACAGAGGCCATCGACCCTAAACCCCAAGCCTAAGCTCCCGAACACCCGCCTTGATCCCCGGATTCTTCAACCTCAAACCGAAAGCCTTTCACCCTGAACCGCAAAATTGCAACCCCGATGGTCTAAAGGCCCCAAAGGACCTAGAGCTTAGTTGATTCCTTCTGTTCGGGCGAGTTTCGGCGGAGAGCAGGCCGAGCGTGAGCCCACTCCTGGTAGGTCTGAACTTGTAACTTCTCAACACCCTAAACCCTAAACCCTAGACCCTAAACTTGTAACTTCTCAACAGACACCAGGGACATGATATGAAGAAGCATTCACCACTCGAAGAGCAGCAATGACAGTGATGCAGTATTTGCTTTAGTTGTGGCAGCAGCAGTGGTGGAAGCAGCAGCAGCAGCAGCAGCAGCAGCAGCAGCAGTAGCAGCCGCAGTCGTGGTGGTAGTTGTTGTTGTAGTAGTAGTAGTAGTAGTAGTTGTTGTTGTTGTTGTTGTAGTCGTTTGAAGGCTCGATATGCTGAGGGCTGGTGCAAAGGGCAAGCCCGCGAGTTTCGGAACGTCGGCTTGCCCCCGGGTTGATATGAACATAGCCGAAAGAAGCAACAGGTTCGGTTAGTTCGCAGCTTCTGATTTAGCGGAATTTAGCGGCTCGATACGTTTCAAGACCTCGTCAAGCTCTCAGAATGAATGCTTTCAACGGGGATGGGATCGTAGGACACAGCGCACGATCCACAACGACCAATGCTGCCTGCGATGCATATCACTCATGACCGTATTCCTGGCTTGGAAGGACTACCACGACAATCACATATACTACACCCGATAAGCAGTAAAAATTTCAGTCATTCCAACCTGGAACCGATCCTGCTACACTACTACGCCCTCGGCTTCAACCCAACCTAAGTCCAACCTCATACTGCTGACGTGATTCTTACGCCAAATCCCACCGAGTCTTACTGGCAACTGCACTTCCGGCCCTTCTTGGTTTCTGCCCAACCTTGAGTACCAAATCAGATATGAAGCCCCTGCTGCTGCCTCGATGCTATACTGTAGGGTTTAGGGTTTAGGGTTTAGGGTTTAGGGTTTAGGGTTTAGGGTTAGATGGGCCTGTAGCAAGCTTCAACACTTGCGGTCGAAGCGTCATCAAACCACCAAACAACACAAGCGCCGTTGCCGCTGCGACCATGTACCTTGCCAGCTTCCGGCCAACTCTGCCAATTCAACGCTTCAGGGCTTAGGGTTTAGGCCGACACAACCCAGAGACCGAAAAGGTCGGATATGGTGGGTTCTATGGTTTCTGACCCCGAAACTCCCACTCTTACTACAGCTGCATAGTACAACATGCATATCTTCACATGCAATCTGCGTGCCCTCTTGGGCTGGGCTTCACGAAAAAACGTGCCGATGTTAGTTACAGCTCTGTGAAAGAAGCAGAACCAAGCTTGACAACATACCAAGCACTTTATCAATGCAAAACAAAAGCCTCAACGCCTACATTCTGTCCGTGGACCAGAACTCTGCACTGCCAAACTCCACATCCGGCATGGCGGTGGCAGGTACAGGCTGCAAGCAACGACTATGAGAGTTGCCACCTTGGCACCCAAACCTATACTAGGTCCTGCTCTGCTGACTGCTGACTTCTGAGCTCCCACTTCCGATATCTTGCTATTCTCTGCACGTTGCTTGCTACGTGTTGCTTTGTGCTTGCTACGCTACAAGTCACAACCACAAGACTATTCGCACTGCGGCTGGATTGGTGCAGCTTTGTCAGCACCATGGATTAGGATACACGGAGGCTCCAAAAATGCTTCAATGCCTGTTCGCTGCGGTGTTCTCTACCCACCAACATGGCTGGTGCGGCGCCTTCACTCTACCGGGGCTTGTTTTTGACACATGGCCAGTTGCCTTTTGGGCCAAAAAATGTCACCATATGTGCTGCACCCTGCTCCGCGACACCGCGACGATGCATCTACGCAGTCTTCAACGAGAACTACCGTTTCAGCTGCTTGAGAAGGCACGCCGAAGACCGATCCAGACAGCAAAGAAGCCTCCAGTAGCTACAGCCCACAGCCGGGGCAAACTGATGTTCTTACCCACCCACTTTCTGTCTACTTTCGGGCTTCTGTAACCACAAGAGCTTCCCTGTTTTCACAGCTCTGCGAGGCCCTGCGTGGTAGGACATCTGCACAGTCTTATGTCTCAAGGTATCTGAGCTTTCGGAGTCTTTCACATCGTAGCACTGCACGATGCTCAAGACCATTTCAACCAAACACTCGCAAAAGCCATTGTTCACAGACGCAACATTGCCGCGACTGCATCGATTTGCATGGTCGAGTGCAGAAAAAATTGCACTCTTCCCTCAACCCGGCACCGCCCTGAACCCTAAACAAGCCTAAACTCCCTAGCCCCTAAATCCCAAACTCCGCATGCAGCTGCCCAGTGGCACATGGGTAGTTATAAGTGGGGCTGTAAGTCCCCTAATATGGGTTATACGTATAGTTCCCCTACTTATAACCCCACTTATAACTACCCATGAACCTCCAAGTAGGCTCTTCTCTTCGGCTGCAGACTCTAGATAAACTCCGGCTGGAACCTGTTTCAGTTCAGGGCGCCACGGACCTGAACCCACTGCATCCGCAGCACTGGTTTAGGGTTTTGGGTTTAGGGTTTCCACAAACCCTACAACAACAGACTCAGACTGATTAAGGCCTCATCCCAGGATAAAATGAATTGACAACAGCAATCATTCAGGCTTTTCAAAAGCCCGCAACCTCCCCGAAGCCGCAGAAAATGCCACCGCCGAATGCCCACTTGCATGCATTACTTTTGAGCATGCTTCAAGTCTCTTTAGCAGAGCACTACCCAATCCAGTTCGGGGCTCGACTCCTGCATTTTGCTCCACACACCCAATCTGAGCTTCATGGACTGCAACGTAGATCCAACATGCCGCTTCGGTTGCAGCATCACTTTGCATGACTTAGAACCGACGCGGGCACCGCGACCTTGGAGCCACCGGTATCCGGTCCCTCATAGCGCATCTTGAACGCTTCCCCACCGCCCATTTCGCACATCTCCACCACCAGGTGGTGGGTGCCTGCCGGAAGGAACATGCTGTGACTAGACCTCTCGAGTTCACCGTGGCAGCCGTTGTTGTCGACGACTTTCTCGCCGTCCAGGTACAGGAGAGAGCCGTCATCGGAGGCGGTGTAGAACTTGTAGTTGCCCGAGCTCGAGGTTGTGAGAAAGCCGCTGCACCGGAGGCAGAAGTTGTCGCTTTGCCGAACATGGGGAAATCTTCCATTGTGCATGTAGATATTCGGCAGAACCTCGCTATGAGCAGGGGTCAGCAACGCGAGGCCCGGGACGTGGCACTGAGCCTGGCCGTAGTAGTAGTCGCACTCCAAGCCGTCCGCAAAGTCCGTGGCTTCGTGTTTGAGCGCAGATCTTGGTATCATAACCTTGGAATTCGCGGTATCTGGTCCCTCATATCTCATCTTCAGGTTCTCGCCGCCACCCATCTCACACATGTCCACCACCAGGTGGTGGGTGCCCGCCGACAGGAACTTGTGCTCGCTTGACCTCTCTTGTTCCCCGTGGCAACCGTTGTTGTCGACGACCTTCTCGCCGTTCAGGTACAGGAGGGAGCCGTCATCGGAGGCGGTGTAGAACTTGTAGTTGCCTGCATTCCTGGTGCTAAGATAGCCGCTGCACCTGATGCAAAAGTTGTCGCCTTGCTTGACGTGAGGGAAATTGCCATTCTGCATGTAGACATTCGGCAGAATGGCGGTGTGCGCGGCGGTCAAACCTTTGAGGTCGGGGACGTCGCACTGGGCCTGACCATAGAAGTAGTTGCACTCCAAGCCCTCCGTCAAAGGTCGCTTGGCCTGGTGCTTGAGGGCGGACATTGGTATTGTGACCTTGGAGTTACCGGTATCCGGTCCCTCGTAGCGCATCTTTAGGTTCTCGCCTCCACCCATCTCGCACATGTCCAACACCAGATGATGGAGACCTTGGCTTAGGTACATGTGATGACTTGACCTTTCGTGTTCGCCATGGCAGCCGTTGTTGTCGACGACCTGTTTGCCGTTCAGGTATAAGAAAGAGCCGTCATCGGAGGCAGTGTAGAACTTGTAGTTACCCGAGTTCTTTGTGCTCAAATAGCCGCTGCACCTGATGCAGAAGTTGTCGCCTTGGGTAATGTGAGGGAAATTCCCGTGGTGCATGTCGATGCGTGGCAGAATTGCGCTGTGCGAGGGGATCAAACCTCCGAGGTCCGGGACGTGGCACTGAGCCTGCCCGTAGAAGTAGTCGCACTCCAGACCGTCCGATGCTCGCAACACTTCGTGCTTGAGAACCTCCCCGGGCACCGCGACCTTGGAGCCACCGGTATCCGGTCCCTGATAGCGCATCTTGAAGGCTTCGCCACCACCCATCTCGCACATTTCTACCACCAGCTCGTGGGTACCCGCCGAAAGGAACATGCTTTCACTTGACCTCTCGGTCTCACCGTGGCAGCCGTTGTTGTCGACGACCTTCTCGCCGTCCAGGTACAAGAGAGAGCCGTCATCGGAGGCGGTGTAGAACTTGTAGTCGCCCGAGCTCGAGGCTGTGAGAACGCCACTGCATCGGAGACAGAAGTTGTCGCTTTGCCGAACATTGGCAAATCTTCCATTATGCGTGTAGATATTCGGCAGAATTGCGCTATGAGCAGGGGTCAGCACCGAGAGGTCCGGGACGTCGCACTGGGCCTGGCCGTAGAAGTAGTCGCAATCCAAGCCGTCCGCATAGAAAGGCTTCACCTCGTGTTTGAGAGCAGATGTGGGTATCATCACCTTGGAGTTGCCAGTATCTGGTCCCTCGTAGCGCATCTTTAGATTCTCGCCGCCACCCATCTCGCACATGTCCACCACAAGACGATGGATACCTGGTCCAAGGAACTTGTGATGACTTGACCTTTCGTGTTCGCCATGGCAGCCGTTGTTGTCGACGACCTGTTCCCCGTTCAGGTACAGGAGAGAGCCGTCATCGGAGGCAGTGTAGAACTTGTAGTTACCCGAGTTCTTTGTGCTCAAATAGCCGCTGCACCTGATGCAGAAGTTGTCGCCTTGCTTGACGTGAGGGAAGTTGCCGTTGTGCATGTAGATGTGTGGCAGAACTGCACTGTGCGAGGGGGCCAGACCTCCGAGGTCGGGGACATGGCACTGAGCCTGCCCGTAGAAGTAGTCGCACTCCAGGCCTTCTGCCAAGCGCTTCTGTGCGTGTTTGAGAGCAGATGCGGGCACCGCGACCTTGGAGCCACCGGTATCTGGTCCCTCATAGCGCATCTTGAAGGCTTCGCCACCACCCATCTCGCACATTTCTACCACCAGCTCGTGGGTACCCGCCGAAAGGAACGTGTCTCCGCTTGACTTCTCGTGTTCGCCGTGGCAGCCGTTGTTGTCGACGACCTTAGCCTTATTCAGGTACAGAAGAGAGCCGTCATCGGAGGCGGTGTAGAACTTGTACTGGCCCGACTGCTTGGTGCTCAAATACCCTTTGCACCGCAAACAGAAGTTGTCGCTTTGCCGAACATGTGGAAACCTTCCATTGTGCATGTAGATATTCGGAAGGATTTCTCGGTGATTTGGGGTCAAGGACGCGAGGTCCGGAACATTGCACTGAGCCTGGCCGTAGAAGTAGTCGCACTCCAAGCCGTGCTCAAGTTCGGAGGCAGATGGGGCGACTATGGCAAGTGTAGTAGTGGTTATGGTGGTTGTAGAGGTTCTTGTAGAAGTTGAAGTTGTGGTGGAGGTAGTTGTGGTGGAGGTAGTTGTGCTTGTTGACGTGGTGCTTGTTGACGTGGTGGTTGACGTCGTGGTGGTTGATGTCGTGGTTGTGGTACTGGTGGTCGTGTAGCAGGCAGTGCCCATGCTCAGGCATCTCCCGTCCACCCAGGCACACTGCATGTGGCTAAGCCCATCTGTCACGAAGTAGCTTTCGCAATCCGCTTCCTGCAGGTGCGAGCATGAGAAGCTGCCCTCCACGTGAGTCCCCTGGCACTCCACAAGGGGATCTTCAGCCTGGACAGCGCGCTGCTTCCCCGAGGCGACTGGAGGTGAGTTGACGTCGAAGGACCAGCCTTCCTTCGAGTCCTCCGCTTTGTTCGGCTTGGCCTTGCTCTTCGTCTCTTGGACATCCCCGCGCGAGAAGTCCTTCAGCGCGGCGATGGCCCGGGCGCGACTCTCCAAGGACACGATGTCGTCGGGCATCGCCATCAAAATCAATGCGAACTGGTCCGCGATGTCCACCAGGGGGATGACCTTTTCCGGGCTCTGATAGTGAGGCCCGAAGCCCATCTGCAACCCAAGCTGAAGCACATTGCCCGACAGCAATCCTTTGACTTCGAAGTTCACCGTGCCGGAGTTCTTGAAGCTGAAGAGCTTAAACGTCTCCTCGCCCTCCTCGCTTTGGCGGATCACCTCCTCCGCCGCCCTTCCCTGCGACTTGGAGGTGGTGTTCACGCCCAGGTCTTGGCCGTACTCGACGGAGGCCAGGTACAGGTCGTCCTCCTCCGTCTTCCAGTACAAGGATTCCTGCACCTTCTCCTCCTCACTGCGGAGGCTGCGGTTGCTTTCCAGGAGAGAGGATCGCTTGATGGAGGCCATGCCTGTTCCACTCTCCTCATCTGCGTCAGACACCGCGAAGTAGCTCTTGGCGGTTTGGTG